CGAACGTCCCGAAGAAAGCACGGGAAAAAAAGAACTTACTACCGTTCAAATGAGATATTCTAGAGGACAATGGGTGTGCACATATGCAAAAATTAATAACCATCAAAATAAAGAGTTAACTACATTTTGCGTGTTATGGTTTATCGGGCATTTAGAAGAAAAATCCTCGGCTCCTAGTGCTGTTAAAAAAAATCGGGTAGAAGTACCGATATGCCTTATCTTCGGCCTTTTCTCGTTTAGTTTGTTCAGCAGCTCGCCTCATTTCATCCTCCTGGAATTTGATTTTGGCACTTACAAGGGTTTTACCCTGTTCCCTTCGTCGTTTCTCGTCTTCGATTTGTCGAACCCTCTCCTCTTCCTGGCGCTGAATTTTCTTTCTTTCGAGATATTCCTGCATAAGTCAAAAATCAAATTTAGCACAAATATTTGTACATTTCGGTTTACAACATTCAAAACAAATATGACCATGAGCAACATAACTCTCGACAATGCGAGCGGATTGAGAGGGCCATACCATTCGGTTAACCTGTTAGAACGCGCCATAGAAGGCCGAAAAACATAACCAAAAATTGCTTTGAGACTAACTCGAACGGTTGACAAACCGGATTAGTAAAAGATGTCAAACCCCAAGTCAGCGGTCACAAAATCCGCTTATGTGAAGTAATGGCCAAATTGTTATTTCGCAATTCCAAAGAGAGTGTATTATTGCCGAAATTATCAGTCTGTTCTAATTATAAGGCGCGGCTTTAGGATATTGGTATCTTGTCCCACTGTAAACGTTTCTTTGCTGTCAGTTTCCAGAGTTTACGCCCCACGCGTACTAATTGTAGAAGTTACAGGTTGCGAAGTGTTTACCTTAGAACAAAAAATGACCTACCGTCCACGCTCAATAAATAAATTTGCGTCTTAAGAAGAAAGGACAATCAGGCAGCAGACTTGTCTTGACTGTCAGAGAGAACGAACTACCCAGCAAAACGCCTAGCTCATATGTGTGGCTATAATAGCTGTCTTTCAGTACGGTATCAAAGTTTGGAGGTCATCGGCCTGAAATACATCATACAAAACGGGTTGTGTCTGTTCTATTTCTTAGATTTCTCCTGAACCTGCTGAATTTACTAACTACTAACAACTGTGTGCCTATTTATCAACGGAACAGTTACACGCAAGGTAAAACGAAAAGCCTGGTTCGCAACAGGCAATATGATAGCCCAAGAAAGGGCGCTCAAAAGGTAGTTGTTAGCTGACGGATAAATACGTAAGCGTAAGGACTGTTAACATCCTTAA